CAGGAATGGGGGCAGGTTTCCTGTCAAAGGTGCAGACTTGCAGTCTGTTCCTCCTTTTACTGTATGGCTTACTGTCATAATTTTGTGTGAAAACAGCATGCCTTGACCTGTGTTTCCAACAGCAGCATTTGGATGAGTGCAGCATTGCCAAGTGAGAGCAACTTTACTGGGTGCACGTGCTGCAGAATAACAAAGGAGGCAGCTTAGTGTGCTTTAGGTGGTGTTTGTCATGGTCTTTGCATGAAGAAAGTAATTTCCTTATGCCCCCATCCACCTCTGTATTAAGTAGTTCAGTCCTCTGTTTTCTGTGTGAAGAGGAAATGATGATCATGGTTTTAGTGGCTTTTTTTTTTTTCTAAATTGACATTAATACACAACATCATTGTGGGCCACTTTGACTGGATTTGGCCAATGTGTGTGAACTACAGATTTTTGAACTTCGTCTTTTCTTTAGGTTTTCCTGGGCCTTTTCTCGGGGATAAAGGTTTGCCATTAGTAAGCCTGTTGAGATGCAGTCTCATTTTAGTGTCGCGCTAAGTGGTCTTTCAAGCAAGTAGAAAACAAAACATCTGGAAGGATAAGTGCTTAGGTCTTTTATGTGTGCATTTTTGTCCCTTCAAGGTTCAGCTGAGCAGTTCTGCTTCCTCACAGCTGGGGAGCTTGTGTTGCAACAACTTTTCATAGTCATCCCAAATATTGAGCGTACCAACTGTGCAGAACAATCAGTTTTCTGATTATTATTTACTGGTTTTGCCCTTAAGATCTTAAAGCTTTTGGTTTACCTACTCCACAAGAGCATGCAATAGAAACGTAGAAAAGGAAATTCCCTTCTGCCAGCTGGGTGGTTTGACGGTGTTTCTCTGCATTGCTGTGTGCATGTAGGTGCAGATGTGTAGTTAAATGTGCAGAGCATGAGTCTGCATTATAGTTGGGGTGGAATGTGGAGCACAAGGGGCTTTGTACATTTGAAGATCTGTTGGGAATATCTCTGGAGCACTATCTGAGTAAAAGGGCACAAAGGTCGTTCCTCTCGTGTACTGTGAGGAGGTGTGTTGGGCTGAGCAGGAAGGTGGTAATATCTTCTTCCCTGGAACCGTTATCCTCACATGCTGAGTGACTAGAGAACCAGTGAACCTGATAGTGTTACAGCACTGCAAAATAGTTGGAGAGACCAAAGATTTACTTTTTTTTTTTTAGCCTTTTAAAATTATTTTTTTCTTTTGTTAAAACATTTGTCTTTAATTTCATCTACCCAGTTTCTCCCTGATAGAAATAGAAAGACAGGATTTCTTGTTGCTAACTCAGAAAAATTTCACCCATCACTATCTTTTAATAGTATATGAGGAGCAGAGTACAAAGGGCTTTCTCCGTCATAGGAAAGCACAGGATGATGGAACAGCAACTTAAAATTATTGAAGGACATTTTTAAGGTAGATGTCATAATAAGCTGTTCTTCTGCACATGTTCTGTGTACCTCACTTCAAGGTATATCAGTGAAAACACTGTAGAAAGCACTTAACGCACGTGTGCTTCCCTAAGTACAGCGAAATGGACCAGGGCTCATGAATGGATGTACAGGACAAAACCAGATTTTCTGAAATAAAGCATTGGGACCTCTCGGCCACTTTTGTTCAGTCTCTGGTTTAAATTTCTTTTGTGACCACAATTAATTCCTTAGCTTGGAAATGTAGATACTCTGTCAGAGTGTCACCACAGATGGCAAACAGAATGGTGGAATCTGCAAGGAGCATCCTGAATAAATTCCTTCCAGACATTTATATCTACACAGATCATATGAAGGGGGTCAGCTCTGGCAAGTGAGTATCCAGTATTCACAGAGAACAGATAAGTAATTCTGCATTGATTCATCTGCTAGGGTGTTATGATCTGTAACTTTGTTGAATTTTAGACCACGATCTTCTATTTTGCTGACTTGAAATAAATATTTCAATTCCAGTTGAAAAAAAAAAAATGAATTATTCACTGCATACATTTGTTTTACTCGTGGTACAGGGATAGAAGTTGTGTGTGTGGTTTTTTTTGTTTGGTGGTTGGTTTTTTTTTTAAACAAGGAATGTAGTACATCTTTATTGCCACTAAAGGCAACTTGAGCTCACTTCAATTTTAAACCTGTTGCTTTGAAGTGAGATTAAGATCAGAGGTATCATGGTAAGTTGTGAAAACACACATTCAAACTTGACCGTACACTTTCTGATGGAAATGGTAGTGTTAAGGATGGGACCAAACTGTTCTGGAAAGTATTTGAGCTGTATGGGTTGTCTTCTGCTTTACCATTACATAAATGGCTAAAAAAGTGCCCTTTCACTGGTGAGGACTGGAAAATTGAGACATTAATTTACTGTACTTCCTGTACAGATTTTGTTTGCTAGCAGAACACAGAAGTGATGGATGGATTCAGACAACTTTACTGATACCTGTCAGCTTTGTTGTCCTCTTGTCACTTTTTGGTCGAGGTTGAAGAAGTTCTGGATAACTAATTTGCTTGTCTTCTGTCTGTATGTCAAATGCAAGCATGCACATTCACTGTTTCTGTTTTTTGAAATATTACCTTAAAGAAAACTTGTTAGGTTTGGAAGTTTACAAATCTAATAATTGTTGATTCACTTTTAAGTGGTTTTCCTCTTTTCCAATCCTTCATCATGTTTAATACCCTGGGTTAGTAAATCTTACGGCTCCAGACTGTTAGCGCTGATCAGAATTGTGAAAACTTCCAGGAGCTGTGAGTTTTTGAGGTCTTATTTTGTTTTTTGTCTGTCTATAAAGTGGAAAAGTCAAATGAATTGGGGCAGTGGCATTACATTCACTACTTGCATGGGTAGCCCATGCAGAGGGATAAATAATAGCACGGGAAGAGGGACTGAATCCCTGTCCATGTTGCTGGTGCCTGTAGCTTCTGATGCTGCTGTGCTGTCACATTCAGCATAAGCATGGTGCCAGTGCAATTGCGGTATACCTGATACTAACATTGTGCCACTTTGGCAAAGCTTTTTTATTACCTGGTTCCCAGTGGCTGTTTGTGTGTGCGTCTTGGCAGGACAAGGAAGGAAAGCAATATGCCTTGTTGTTTCCAGTGATGTCTCTGGTGATGAGTAAGACCAGCAAGGACTAGTTCAGCCTATTTGCGCCCAGCCCAAACCAAGTCTCGATTTCAGAATATGAAGAGTTGAAATATATACCTTCCACAGTGCCAAAACCTTCAGGGAATACATTATTTGAGTGTCTTCTGCCACCTATAATGTCTCTCTAAACAGAAACTTCCAGGTTCTGTTTCGAGCATTTGCAGCAAAAAGTTTGTGCAGATGCTTCCTAATACTGTCTGCACATACATGGGGCACTGGATGATTTTCATTCTTATTTAGGCAGATTGCCACGTGCTACTGAACACTAACAAAATCTGCCAGTGGGTATAGTTACTAAAGGATACTTGTCCAAAAAATAGCATCTTTGACCCTGTTCTTGGCTTGCTGTCTAGATCTCTGTCTCTCAGATGAAGGATAGGAGAAGAAAAACATCTTTAACATACCTTCTGTGTTGCTCAGCAAGTGCAGGCAGTTCAATATGGGTGGGAACCACTGGTATCTTTTCATTCCCACCCTAATGCCTCTGGAGGCACTGTTGTATTTCTGGCACTGGGAGTGTTTGTTTGTATTGATGTTTGGGGTTTGATTTTTGTGGTTTGTTGATGTTGGTGACATTCCTTACAGTTTTGGGTCAGTGGGACTATTTTAATTAAAAAGTTTGGGTGGCAGAGGCAGCAGGAGTCCAGAACTGTGGGAAGTTAAGTGAACCTTATTTTGAATGGCTAGCTATTGGTGCTCTTCCAGAGCCTATAAATAAGAAGATCTAGTGACTTTTTTTTTTTTCCCCCCTTCCCCACAACTTTCTGATTTCTTAGCAAGCTGTACTCAGCCATCTGTGACTTTCTTGTAGCAAAAATGTTTCTTTACTCTCACAGTAGCATTTTGTAGGAGCCTAAGCTCTGAATTTTTTGTTTCTTCAAATTGTACATTCAGAATTCTTACACAGTTATGATTTGGATGGTATTGAACGGAAAAGGAAAAGAAGTGATTTGAAATACAAATAACGAGGATGAAACTTTTTTTTTTTAATTCTCCTGCTTGCTGCAATGGATATGGTCTAATCTTGCTAAATATTGAAGCTTCCAGGTAAAGAGCTTGATCCCTAAAGAAAGTTAGGTTTTGTTTTGAATGTTGCAGAGAAGAAACTCCAGATACCTTTGAAGTGTTGAATTCATTAACATGAATTAAATAAATTAGAAAGACACTATTTTTCTTAATAGAGGGGGATATTTCTGAGGTTTAGGTGTTTTATCTTTTTTTTTTTTCCTTCCTTTTTTGCTTTTTAAAGAGTTTGTGCCAGGAACAGCCAGCACAGTGGGTTTGGGGCGAGTGGTACTGGGTTCAACTTTTGAATACTGATGTTAATGTTTATTCCAGGGTGAATCAAATTTATAGAACAGGAAATTTGTCAGCAAGTTCACATTCCCAGTATTGTCCTGTGAGCGGAGCTGTTTGTTGACTGGAGGAGGTTGGCTGGGAGTAGTTCTTGGCTCACTACTCTATTTTTGCCCTAAACCAAATGTACTTTTTCCCTTTCTTTCAGATCACCAGGTTTTGGCATGTGCCTGACTGCAGAAACCATCAACGGCACTATTCTCAGTGCTGAACTAGCCTCAAACCCTCAGGGCCAGGGAGCAGCTGTGCTTCCCGAGGAACTTGGCCAGAATTGTGCTAAGCTGTTGCTTGAGGAGGTCTACAGGGTAAGTGGCCAATAC